GAACTTAGTAACATTTCATGGTGTCTGGGAAGGACTTTGTTCCTGGGATGGGGAACAGAGGTCGCGGCTCAGACACAGGCAGCTCCGGCGCCCCTCCCTCCTGTGCCCCTCCCTCCTCTGCTTCCAGGATGCTCCCTTTGTCTTTGGGTGCGTTCCTCCTACAGGGGTTCACTGAGCTCACTGGCTCTGCAGATTAATGCTTTTCACCAAATTTGAAAAATTTCAGGGGCCGGTGGTAGCTTTGGGATCCACAAGGAGGGAAGGCCTACACTTCGGGGAATGGAGAGGCCTACTTCCAGGGAAGAAAGTCCTTGTCAAGGTCCCTGCGGGTGCCTAAAGGTCAACCAATGAGGATCAGACCCGCCTCAACCTTTAACCCCCATGCCCTGAATCTATAAAAGGAGCCCCCCCAATCTCTGATGCGCAACTTCCCCGCCCCGCTCTGTTGCTCTGTTGCTCTGTTGGGACCAGGGAGCCTCGCCCGGGAGTGGAACCCCAATAAAAGCCTGTGAATTAATTGATTCGTCTGCCTGGGAAGATCTGTTACGCGCCACACACCTTACAGCCGGCACTGTGGCATAGCGGGTGAAGCCACCGCCTGCAACACCAACAACCCACATGGGCACTGGTTCCAGCCCCGGCTGCTCCACATCCAATCCAGCTCACTGCTAATACTCTTGGGAAAGCAGTGGAAGATGGCCCACGTCCTTGGGCCCCTGCACCCGCATGGGAGACCTGGAGGAAGCTCCTGGCTCCTGGCTTCAGATGGGCGCAGCTCCAGCTGTTGCAGCCATTGGGGAGTGAACCAGAGGATGAAAGACCTCTCTATCTCTCACTCTCTCTCTCTGTGTAACTCTGCCTTTCAAATAACTAAATATACCTTTAAAAAATAAAGAAAAATGTCAGGGGGCCGGTTCTGTGGAGTAGAGGGTAAAGCCGCCGCCTGCAGTGCCGGCATCCCATGTGGGCGCCGGTTCAAGTCCGGGCTGCTCCACCTCCAATCCAGCTCTCTGCTGTGGCCTGGGAAAGCAGCAGAAGATGGCCCAAGTCCTTGGGCCCCTGCACCCACGTGGGAGACCTGGAGGAAGCTCCTGGCTCCTGGCTTTGGATTGGCGCAGTTGTGGCCATTGCGACCATCTGGGGAATGAATCAGCGGATGGAAGACCTCCCCCTCCGCCTCTCTCTCTGCTTCTCCTTCTCTGTCTGTAACTTTCAAATAAATACATTAAAAATCTTTTAAAAAATAAAGAAAAATGTCAGCCATTATGTCTTCACATTTTTTTTCTGTCCCTTTCTCATTTATTTCCTTCTGGGACTGCATGTACTACGGTGCTCTTGTTAGGTAGGAAGTCAGATATGAGCTTATGTGTGTGTGACATGAAGGCCAGCATCTGCACCTGCATCTCAAAGTCATCCTGATAACCTCTCAGGGGCAGCCCCGTGTTCGCATCCTGCCCTGCCCCCTCCTACCCGATAACCTGCCAGGTGGGGGGTCCCGTTCTGCCTGACAAATCTTCCGCAATCTCCCAGATGCAGCCCAGTATCTGCATTTCAAACACCTGCTCTGGACCTGCTCTGGATCCTGGGTTAGGGCGGTGCCAGCGAGGCTTCCTCCTGTCTGATACCTTCAGGGGGAAAACTCAAGAGCTTCTTAATATTTACATCCATAAAATCCTTTGTTTCAGGAGGAGATGTGTGAAGACAAAGACCCCATCTCCTTAGAACCCACCCCCCACCCCCACCCCCCGGCCTCAACGGACAGTGCGCTCAGCCCTCTGCCTTGCTGCTGAGCCGCCCGCCTGGCCTGGTCAGGTGTATTCTCTCCACTCAACTATATAACCTCGTTCCCCGCCCCCCAGTCTGAGCGACTGCACTCTCTCTCAGGTCCTGTCTGGAGAGGTGCCCATCCGTTCTTACTGATTCCCCTTCCCTAATAAACTTTGCTACTTTTACTTTCCACTACTCTGTCTCAAGCCTGAATTCTTTCTTGTGTGAAGACAAGAACCCTGCCATTCACCGGTAACACTCTGAAAGCTGTGGAGGCTGGCTCTGTGGTACAGCGGGTAAAGCCACCACCTGCAGTACTGGCATCCCATATGGGCACCAGTTCTAGTCCTGGCTGCTCCACTTCCCATCCAGCTCTCTGCTGTGGCCTGGGAAAGCAGCAGAAGATGGCCCAAGTCCTTGGGCCCCTTCACCCACTTGGGAAACCAGGAAGAAGCTCCTGGCTTTGATTTGGTCCAGCCCTGGCTGTTGTGGCTAATTGGAGAGTGAACCAGAGGATAGAAGATCTCTCTCTCTCTCTCTCTCTCTCTCTCTGTAACTCTTTCAAATTAATCTTTAAAAAAAAAAAAAGCTGTGAAAAATGGAATTAAAAGCTAAATTTATTTTAGTGGTGCACAACATTTAGAAACCTGTGCATAGCTTTCCCAAAGCTGTGTTCTCACCATGTGAGGGCCCCGGGGACCGTGTGAGCCATGCGCGAGTGCTCCGAGCTGCTGGGCACTTCTCATCTCTTCTCTTCAGGCTGCACGGTTTCTATCGCTGTCTTCAAATCTATAACTTAATGGCATTATAATAATGGTATTATATGCTTAAACATCTCTTTTATTAAGCTCTTGGTGAATTTTAAATTTCAGTTATATCTGTCAGTTCCAGAATTCTCAGTTGATTTGTTTATTGAAATTGTCATTCTCACACTTTCTCTTAATTATTTTATTATTATAAAAGCCACTGCTCCTATCCAGGGGCTCACTCCCAAATTCCCACAACAGCCAGGGCTGGGCCAGCTGAAGCTGGGGCTGGGAGCTGCTTCTGGGTCTCCCAGTGGACAGCAGGGGCCCAGGCCTGCCTCAGGCAGGAGCAGGAAGCTGGAGCCTGGATTCCACCGCAGGTGCGCTGATGTGGGAGGCAGATGTCCGAGCTGTCACCTTAGCCACCAGGCCCCTGCAATGCCTTTTTTTTTTTTTTAAACATTTATTTTATTTATTTGAAAGGCAGAGTTACAGAGAAAGAGAGAGAGAGGTCTTCCATCCATTGGTTCATTCCCCAAATGGCCACAATGGCTAGAGCTGGGCCAATCTGAAGCCAGGAGCCAGGAGCTTCTTCTGTCTCCCATGTGGGTGCAGAGGCCCAAGGACTTGGGTCACCTTCCACTGCTTTCCCAGGCCACAGCGTGGAGTTGGATCGGGAGTGGAGCAGCTGGGACTCACATGGGGTGCGATGCTGGTGCTGTAGCTGAGGCTTTAACCTGCTGCACCACAGCACCTGCCTTCCCTGCAATTCTGTAAACATGACTTCTGTGAATGATGTCAGCCCAACATCCGAGTTCCCCCCAAGTATCGGTCAGTTTTCTTGCTTCTTCACCTGTCTTGTAACTTGTGGTGAGACAGGTGTTTCAGCCGGTTCATCAGGTGTGACAAGTGCACCACGCTAGTGAAAGATGAGGCCAACGGAGCAGATGGGGTGATAGCCAGGGGTCCCTGAGCTTCCTGCCCACTTCCCTCGAACCCTGAACCTGAACCTGCTCGGTAGTGGTAGTCCAGTCACTTAAAGCCAGGATAGAATAGAATAGAATAGAATAGAATAGCATAGCATAGAATAGAATAGAACAGCTGCAGGTGCTGGGTCCTGGCACCTCCTTCCTGCTGCTTTTGTTGAGTGTTGAGTGCTCCCATCTGTGTCCCCTGTGGGGGTGGCACTGACATCCCTGGTTCTGGGGGTGGCCCTGGCCTGTGCTGGTTGCAGGCTGTGCTTGCGTCCCCTAAGATGGAGGGGACCCCTGCTGCTGGCCATGTGTGTGGATCAGGGCACAGTCAGAGCCGAGGTCCCCGAATTTATTTCCCACAGGGCGTCCGGTCTCCTCTGTGAGTGCAGGGGCCCAGGCTGGGGGTGGTTGGGGCCTTGCTTGCAGGCAGCCCAGGCTGCCAGTCATTGCGGCCCCCAGGTTCCCTCAGGGGCCGTGGCCCTCCCCCTGGCTCCTCTGAGAGGCCATGGTGCCTGCCCATCAGGGGCTGGACTTGGGGAGCTGCAGGCAAGGCCACAGGCCCTCCGCTGTCACCGGGAGCCCGAGAGGGCTGTGTCTGAAAACCCTGCCTCCCACACTCAGTCCCAGGCAGGGTCCTGTGCTCAGAAACCCACGACCCAGCCCTGGGCCTCCGGCCTGGCCAGCAGCACCGGTGTGGTGGGGAGCAGGGGTGGAGTGGGTGGAGGTGAGGAGCCCAGGGTCTGGGCAGGTGTGAAGCAGCCAGGTGGGTAACCGGATCCCTCAGAGGGAGCAGCTGGGGTGACCGGGTCCCTCAGGGGGGACAGCTGGGGTAACCAGGTCCCTCAGGGGGGAACAGCTGGGGTGACCGGGTCCCTCAGGGGGCAGCTGGGGTGACCGGGTCCCTCGGGGGGGGCAGCTGGGGTGACCGGGTCCCTCAGGTGGGGGACAGCTGGGGTGACCAGGTCCCTCAGGGGGCAGCTGGGGTAACCAGGTCCCTCAGGGGACAGCTGGGGTGACCGGGTCCCTCAGGGGAGCAGCCAGGGTGACTGGGTCCCTTGGTGGGGGACAGTTAGAGTGACCAGGTCCCTTAGGAGAGCAGCTGGGGGACCGGGTTCCTCAGGGGGGAGACAGCTGGGGTGACTGGGTTCCTCAGGTGGGGGACAGCTGGGGTGACTGGGTCCCTCAGGGGAGCAGCCAGGGTGACTGGGTCCCTTGGTGGGGGGGAGCAGCCAGGGTGACTGGGTCCCTTGGTGGGGGACAGTTAAAGTGACCAGGTCCCTTGGGAGAGCAGCTGGGGTGACCGGGTCCCTCAGGGAGGAGACAGCTGGGGTGACCGGGTCCCTCGGGGGGGACAGCTGGGGTGACTGGGTCCCTCAGGGGGGACAGCTGGGGTGTCAGGCCCAGCACCAGTAGGGCTGGGCAGCTGACTCAATCACCAGGGCAGTGCAGTCCAGGACCCTTTGCCCCAGACACACCCACATGGGGACATAAAACCCTGAGCAGCCCATGCAGGAGCAGCGCCAGGCATCCGGAGTCCTGGACTGACGGCTGCGGTTCCCCCAGAACACCCCCGACCTGAGAAGGGACCCCCGCCATGAAGAGGTGACACCCCCACCCCACCCCCACCAAACCCTGGTGGCTCAGACACCAGCCGTGTCTGGGGACTCTGGCTCAGACTGTCCTTTCTGGGGCCTGGCTCTGGGGGGTGTCCGGCAGGGAGGGGGTCCCCAAGAGCATGCCCCTTCCATGATGAGTGACAGGACACACTCTCGCCCTGGCCTCTGGCTGCCGTCTGGGGTCTGCATCCAGGCTCCCCCAAGGCAGCTGCTGGGGACTGGGTGTGATGGTGCCAGCCTGGGTAGGGACACCCTCAGGAGCCTGGCCTGGGGCTCGGGGAGCTCCTGAGGGTCCTGCCAGACCCAGGTCCATGGTGCTGCACAAGGACCTCGCGTCCACCCCTGCCCTTCATCAGGATCGGCTCCCTCTGGGGCCCCAAGGAGGGGCAGGCGCCTGAACCCCATAGTCAGGGCCCCACCCTCCAGCGCTGAGTCAGCCAGGGGAAGAACAAAGGTCCCTGTGGGGCTGCAGGCCATACTCTCACAGGCAGAAAACATGCTACATGCTACATACCCCACAGCACACACATATACCACACATGCACACCACACATACTACACACTACACACCACCCACACATTATGTAGCACACATGTGTTACACACACCCTCACATGCAGAAAACATGACATACCATCACACGTCACATGCTACACATTCCACATACCACACAGCACACACACATACCACACATGCACACTACACACTACATGCCACCCACACACTACACGATACACACATTACATAGCACACACATGCGTTATACACACACTATACACTATGCACCCCACATACTACACAGCACACAAACATATACCACAAACCACATATACATACCACATATACATAGTATACACATACATACACAACCACATACACTACACACTACACACCACGCACAAGTTGCATGCTACACACTCCACGTACCCCACAGTACACACACACACACTACATACCACATACACATACCACACCCCACACATACATAGCACACACATTCCCAACCACACACACTACACACTATACAGTATGCACACATTACATGCTACACACATTACATAGCACACACATGTGTTACACACACCCTTTGTCCTGCTGCAGGGGGTCAGCCCAGAGCATAGGGAGCAGTGGCCACAGGCGAGGCTGTGGGCCTTGGCCCAAAGGGTGGGAGCAGGTGTGGGCCTGGACCATCTCGCCTGTGTCCTGGCCTGGGACAGGGATCTGAGAGCCCACCTGTGGGTCACCAGCTCTCACCAGAAGGTCAGTGGAGCCCGTGTCCGTTTCTTCACACCTCTGCTTGCCCCCAGGCTCCTCGTAGCCACCTGCCTGGTGTCCGTGCTGCTGTGCGAGGCAGCTGTGGCTCCAGCACCCCAGGTATGTGTGCCCCTTCTGGCCCACCCTGCCATCTGTCACCCGGGCAGTGGATGTTATTCCCCAAGGACCCCTGAGCTGGTCCAGGAGGGAGGTGGGGGGACACAGTGTGGGTGCAGGTGCCCGAGGGCTGGTGCCTCCGGACACTGAGGCAGGACCTCAGGATGGGGAGGGGCAGTCCTGGGTTGGGGTCTGATGGACAAATCTTGCACTCAGGGGACTCCAGGTCCACGACACTCACCCGGGTCCCTTAGACACTCCCCTGGGCCTTAGAGCCGAGGAACCCTGTGGACTGGGGCCAGCCCACACCTGACTCACTCTTCCAGGTTCTCGTCAAGACCAAAAGCAAGCAGGGGGTCTCCGAGCAGGACACAGAGAAGTGAGTGTCCCACACACCCTGCTGCCCTCAGCTGTCAGAGGAGGGGGTGCTTGGGCCACCCGGAGCCCATGCCAGGAGGGAGCAGACAGCAGAGCCACTGGGTCTGGGGGCTCGGCCACCCCCTGCTCAGCCCCCAGCCCAGTCTCCAGGGTGGTCTCTGCTTTCTCATGGCTGCCAGGCCCCCACCTGTCCCCAGTGGCTCGGGGGGTGGTGCAGACACTGGCCAGGGCTTGTCCTGGGCCCAGGGGTAGCCGGCAGGCAGTGGGCTGGAGAGGCTTCTGGTCACCTCATGTCCCAGAGGCACTGTCCACCTCTGCCCTCACATGGCGCTGACCCGGCTGTGTCACAGGGCCTGGGGCGCCCGAGCTCTGGACCCTCCAGAGAAGGGTGGCCAGCTGCTGTGGCCACTCCCCGGGCCGAGGCCGAAGCTTGCGGCTGCTGCTGAGAAAGAGCTGCCAGGTAACGTGGGCACCCTGTCCCCCAGGCGGGAGCCAGGCCACGGCAGAGGAGCCCACCCCGTGGATGTGCCCCCAGGAGGAAGATCTCAGGAGGGAGACTGAGGCCGCGCCCCGCTCTGCCTGCCCCTAGGTGCCAACGCCTGGGCAGGCACCCAGGACATCCTGCGCCGTTTCCGGGTGCCGAAGCTGGGTCCTGAGCCCGACCTGGACGACCAGCACCACCCCCACCCCAAGGAGGCCTTGGGCAAGGAAGGGTCCCAGCCCTGCGTGCTGCCACCTCGCCAGGTGCTCCAGGGCCCGGAGGAGGACCGGGACCACATCCACCACCCGGCATAGGCTCCCCGGGGCCCTGACCACCCTCCCCTCCATGGCCCAAGGCCGCGCTGCGGGGGCTGCTGGCCCCTGCTCCTACGCCAAGTAGAAAAATAAACATCAGCAAAGAAAGGCTCAGGCTGTGTAGGTATGAATCCCTGGGCCCTGGGCCTGGCTGGCTCTGTCAGGAGAGCCCAGAACACCCCACCCCCCACCCCCCTTCCCGGGTGTGCGGTGGTCAGCTGGGCAGGTGCACAGGGGACTTTGTGTCCCACTTTTCTGGCTGTGTCTGGGAGGCCAGACAACCCTGCGCTGTGGCCGCCGCGGGCTGAGGCAGCCGTCTCAGACGCTGAGCAGGCTCGGGGGCACCAGCCACTGAGGTGAGCCTGGGAGCAGCTGCTGCACCACTTGGTGCCGAACCCTGTGGGCGGAGCCAGCTCTGGCCTGCCGGAAAGGCACCCTGGAGAGGGCACTGCTCTCATGAGCCTGGACCTTGCCGGGTCCCCAGCATCCCCGAAGGACACACGCAGCCACCCCACGCACCCCAGCCCTGCAGCACAGGCAGCGGGCAGGAGTGACCTCAGCTGGGTCCACGCTTCTGTGCTGTTGAGGACAGCTGGGCCCGGGGCCTGTGGGATGGTGTGACTGAGGGGACCACAGCCAGCGCTGGGGTTTGGGGGGCTTGTGCTGGCGGAGACTGGACATCGAGTTGGACCCCAGAGCCCGCGGCTGGTGCAGAAGCTTCCGGCGTGAGCATTCACAGCTGCGGTGCCGGCGAAAACCGGCACAAGCTGAGCGCTTGTGGAGGAGGCAGGGGCGCGGCCCTTGTGCTCCCGGCTGGTCCACCTGAGAAGGCAGCGGAGGACAGCCCCAGGGCCTGGGCGCCTGCGCCCACGTGAGCGCTCCTGGCTCCCAGCCTTCGCCTGGCCCAGACTCAGCCACGTGGGGAGTGAGTGAGCAGATGGGCGAGCTGTGTGTGCGTGTGTGTGTGAGTATGTATGTGTGTGAGTATGCATGTGCATGTGTGTATATGTGTGTGTGTATTTGTGTATGTATGTGCATGTGTGAGTGTATTTGTGTATGTGTGTGAGTGTATGTGTGTATTTGTGTATGTGTGTGAGTGTATGTGTGTGTGCATGTATGTATGTGTGTGTATTTGTGTATGTGTATGAGTGCATTTGTGTGTGTGTATGTATGTATGTGTGTGTATTTGTGTATGTGTGTGAGTATATGTGTGTGTGCATGTATGTATGTGTGTGTATTTGTGTGTGTGTATGAGTGCATTTGTGTGTGTATGTATGTGTATTGTGTGAGTGTATGTATGTATATGTATGTACGTGAGTGTATGTTTGTATATATGTGTGTATGTGTATGTCTCCCTGTCTCTCTGCCTTTAAATAGATAGATAAATAACAGATAAATACATAGATGATAGATAGATAGATAGATAGATAGATAGATAGATAGATGAGCCTTTAAAAAAGAAAAAGGAAGCAGGAGGCAGGCATGTGGTCCCATGGACAGCTGCTCGGCCCTGTCAATCATCAGCGACAAAGTCACTCCCGCGGCTATCGCTGACACCCACAGCCAGGCTGACCTTAGGAGACCAGCACCCAGTTGCTGCTTGTTTGAAAGCCTGGTGTGTGACAGTCAGGGACAGCAGGGGTCCCCGCTGGCTCCCCAAGCCCAGGAGGGCAGGGCTTTGGGGGAGGGGCCTGCGGCCAGCCTGGAGCTCCGACGGCCCAGGAGGTGCATGAGGTCAGGGGCTTCTGGCCTGGCAGTCATCTTGGTGACGGCTCCTCCTGGGCAGCGTGAGTTGACCTCAGGGTCACCCAAGGGGGAAGACGGCAGTGATGACCCAGGTGGGCCCCAAGCTGCTGCTGGTGGGAGTGACCTGGTGCGGCCACGTGGAGAACAGCTTGGGAGCTAAAATTTACACCTGCCCAGCCACTCCTCTCAGCATCTACCCGAGACGACAGCCCAGCCATGCTGGGACGGGAGGGCTCACAGCAGCTTTGCCTGCAGGAGCCCACAACCACGAGCCACAGCGCCATGGCAGGCAGGCAAGAGAAGGCAGCTCGCACGCTGGAACTCAGCTCAGCACAATTCAACCACGTGGGTGTCCATGTGGTCACACTGAGGGCGGTGTCCACGCGGTCACACCAAGGGCGGCATCCATGCAGTCACATTGAGGGCAGTGTCCAGGAAGTCACACTGAGGGTGGCATCTACACAGTCACACTGAGGGCAGCGTCCATGAAGTCACACTGAGGGTGGCATTTACACAGTCACACTGAGGGTGGCATCTACACAGTCACACTGAGGGCGGCGTCCATGCAGTCACACTGCCCCAGTGCGATTCCAAGGGTGAGACCCTGGGCGAGGGTGCACAGCAGCCCAGGTGACAGAGGGGCAGGAGATGCCCAGCATGAGTGCGGTGGCTCATGCGTGTGCTCGGGAGCCCGAGTGCTCACCTGCCAGTGTGTGGTCACGTCAGAAAGCCCACAATGGCATGAAATAAATGACACTAATTCTGGTTCAAAAAATGTGAAATCCACGCACACGCTGATCTCCAAAAAGTTCACAGGAGAAACTAGACACAGGCTTCACGTCTTCTGCACCAAATGCAACATCTTACTTATTTATTGTCATTTTATTTGAGAGAGAGAGAGAGAGAGAGAGAGAGAGAGAGAGAGAGAGGGAGAGGGAGAGAGAGAGAGAGAGGGAGAGAGAGGGAGAGAGAGGGAGAGAGAGGTCTTTCCTTGCTGGTCCACTTCCCAAATGCCCACAACAGCCGGGAGACGGGAATGCCATCCACGTCTCCCACTTGAGTGGCAGGAATCCAACACCCAAGCCACGGCTGCTACCACCCCGGCCCTGCCCAGTGTGGCCCCAACCCCCTCACCAGCACCGACACAGCCCCTTCAAGACGTCCGGGCCAGACCCTGCTGCCCACCCCTGGCTCTGGGGAGCCTGAGGGAGAAAGAGCTGCTGCCCAGGGCCACGTGTCGCCATCACCCTCACAGGCCCCCGCGTCCCACTGCCCCTGGGAGCCTTGGCTGGGGCCCAGGTGCTGCTGGGGTGTCCTGGATCCTCTTCGGGTCCGGGGGGGTCTCCAGGCCTAGGACAGCGAGTCCAGGGCCAGCACGCCCTTCTTGAGAATGAGGTTTCCGTAGAGGGCGGTCTCCCTGCAAGATGAGGGGTGCTGAGCACCAGCTGGCTGGGTACTGGGGACCCCGCCTCACCCTCCCGGGGACAGCCCAGAGCCCGTCTACTTTCAGCCCCTCCAAGGACACAGGTCCAGGGACCAGCCGCCTCAGGCTGACAGGGACCCTGTCCACCCAAACCCCTCATTCCCCCCACTCGGTGAGCTGTCCGGGCTCCTGGTGGGGGGTGAACCCTGGGGGGGGGGCTCCTTGAGGACCTGGGCTGGACCAGTCAGAACTCACCCGGTTGCCACGACAGCAAAAGCCTTCCTAGCTCGCTCATAGAACTCAAATCTCTCTATCTTCGCCAGGGCTTTCTGGAAGGCAAAATGGCACAGAAACCCTCACAGCCGGCCCCAGGCCCCGGTAGAGAGAGCAGGAGGCGTGGCCCTGTGGGCTTCACCTCTGTGACAACTGTGACACCCCAATGACCCAGCCTCCGACTCTAAGCACTGGGCGGGGAGTGGATGTGGAGTGCACCTCATGTCCCCCTCATGGGGGCTGTGGTGGACAGGGCTCCTGCTGCCACTGGCATCTCTTGGCCTGGGGTCGCTCAGCAAGCCCTCTGCTCACTTCTGGAGAATGGGCGTGTCCCCCAGCCAGGCAGAGGTGTGGCTGTGACCACAGCCCCCCCCCCCCCAAGCCTCCATCTTGGCCAGCAGTGGGATGGGGGACCTGGGGCTGGATGGACCCAGGCACATGGGCCAGGCTCCTGGGAGGGGGGTGCGAATCCCAGGGCAGAGTGGTGGCGGCCATAGGGCCCAAGCCCACATCTCCTGAGGGTACACACGCGCAGGGGGCAGTTTGGGGATTCCCCCTCATCTCCTGCTCCCCTGGAGCTGCCAGGAGCCGCAGGGGGTCCCCAGCCCTCCCGGCTGTGGGGTTGCAGGCTCACTGTGCAGCCGGCCCTGGACAGGATGGACTCATAGTCCTGCCACACGGGGGTCTGCAGGCCTCTCTCCATATCGCTGGGCTCCAGCTCCATGACGGCAGCCTGTGTGGGGACAGGGGGCAGGGTCAGGGCTGGGTCTCCCCTGGGGACTCAGGGCCTCCCCACACTCCTGGCAAATGGTCCCAAGGGGTCGCAGAGGGGACACTGAGGGCACTCAGGCCTCACCGGGCTGGGGACATAGGTGTCCAGGGGCAGCAGCTGCAGCACGGCCTCCAGGAGCTGTGGGACACGCAGGCCTAGGGGCAGAGCTGCCTCAGTCCTCAGCCCCTCCCAGCGCATGGCCGGACCCAGCCCGTCTGTCCTCCCCACCTCATTCCTCAGCCCCTCCCAGCGCATGGCCGGACCCAGCCCGTCCTCCCCACCTCAGTCCTCAGCCCCTCCCAGGGCACAGCCGGACTCTGCCCGCCCTCCCCACCCCAGCTGTGGGGACCGGAGGCGCTCACCATCCGCCCGGATCTCCACCGGGCCACTCCTGCACACCGACGAAGTGGGGAAGTTCACGTCTGCAAGTACTGCACGGCGGCCGGGGTTGGCACAGCCCAGCCCAGCCCCCACCCCGTCAGAAGGGGACCCTGCTTCACCCTCAGACACCCTGGGCCCTCCCAGCTGTCAGTGGTCAGCCCTACTGGGCCACCTGCCACCACCCCCACCCCAGAGTCCTGGGAGGTGGGGGAGGGGGAGGGTGGTCCCCACCCCCCAGGGATGATCCCCAGCGTTGGCTGCTGGGGCTCAAGGGTCAGACTTGGCCAGACACCCAGGCTGGGGGCCGGGCCGGGCCTCTCCCTCCCCAGGACACTGGCGGGGCCCTCAGCTCTCTCCCGACCCGTAGGCCGGTGGCTTCGGTGCGCGCTCACCGATCTCGTCCCCGTGCCCCATCCGCGCCAGGGCGTACAGCAGCTCGGGGGACAGCAGCGCGGGACGCCCTTGAGCGCCACCATGGCCGCGGCCAGCCGGGGAGGGCGTGGCGGGGCCGGAGGCGGTGGCGGGCGTGGCGGGGCCGGAAGTGGGCGGGGGCTCCGGGAGGCGGGGCCTCCGGGAGCGCGGGGCGGGGCCTGACGGGCAGGATGGACCCGGGCCAGGGTCCTCCGCGCCGCGCACCCAGAGCTTCCAGGCCTCGCGGGCCACGCCAGGCCCCAGCCCCAGGTGTTGGCGACGGAGGCGCCTCAGTGCCCCACCCCTTGAGCCCCCAGGCCTCGCCAGCGCCGGAGCGCACCCGGGCCCTCCCGGTGTCCGCCTGCTGTGGCGTCCCCCCCTCTCCAGCCCACTCCGGATGTTGACCTCTGACCCCCGGAGCTCCCCGGGAGCGGGATTGGGAGGGCGGAAACTGCACCGGGGTCCGGGGTCCGGGATGGGGTTGACCCCTTCGGAGCCAGGGGCTGAGACCCTGTGCCTTTGGTCGGAACAGGGTCTGTGGGGAAGGGAGGGCGGGGCATCAAGGACCGGAGGTGACAACCGTGCGGGAGCGCCCCCTGCTCCCAGGACACCCCCCGCCCCCGCCCCGGCGGTGAGCGCCGCCTCCTTGTCCGCGGGCCGCACTCGCCCGTTAGTGGGGATGATGGAGTGGGCTCTTGTCTTCGCGCAAGGGCGAATTCAGACCGAGACAGAGCAGGAGTCAGCGAGGAAGGGGGTAGTGGGCAGGGCGACCGTCAGAACGGATGGGACCTGAGAGCTGCCAGTTACTCAGACAGGGACAGCAGGGGCGCTCCCAGGCGGTGCAGTCTGGTCTCACGCCCCTGGGGTTCCAGGGGCGGGGTCCTGTTGCACCCGCCTTCCTCCCTCCTCCCCACTTCTGGACCCAGGTTTGCTGAGCCTGAGTCCCCAGGTTTCACTGCGGCGCTGGCAGGCTGGGAGGGCTGCCTTGGGGGGATTGCGAGGTCCCTTGCCCAGCGTCACCAGGCTGGGTCACCCCGGGCGGTGCTGGGCAGAAGATCCCCCTGGGAGCTGTCACTGGGGGAGGCTGGAACTCCCCTGCTATCAGGCACAGGTGGGACTTTGTGGGGTGAAATCTAGCTGCTTTGTCCTCCTCAGGCTAATTTCTGATTCCCACCTGGCACTTCCAGGGGCCTGGAGCGCTCACCTGGGCTCACTGGGCAGATGGACACAGGCGCTGCCTGTGGACCTGCACACGGTGAAGTGATTGTGGGGTCACACGTTCCAGGCCAGACAAAGGGGCCCCCTGAGGAAACCTACCTCTGCCACGGGGTCCGAACCTCAGACCAGGAGGGGCTGCCCCCAGCAGCTGGGCCTGCACACAGGACCTGGCAGGCGGACGCCTGGGGTTTACCGATGCTGTGCCTGGTTGTAAATGCTCATCACATGGGACCTTACTGCACACGCGTGACCCCGGGGTTTAGTCACAGGCCACCTTACTGCACACGTGTGACCCCGGGGTTTAGTCATAGGCCACCTTACTGAACAAGTTCTCCTTAATCAAACACCAAACCAGGCGATAGTGACTTGGACTTTTAACAAAACCGGAATGAGTTTGAACTGAAAGCAAAGAGCATTCGAGGGACTCACTGCGGGGAGATGGACGGAGTTGTCTACCCCAATGAAGGGGCCGCTGCTGTTACCGTCCAGCCTTGGGGCCCAGAGGTCATTGCCCAACCCCAGCACAACCACTGAGAAGTCCTGTGACCTGCGAGGCAGGAGGGGCACGAGCTGAGACCAAGGTGTCCACCTCTCCCCAGACTGCTGGCCCCTGTCTCCCTGGCTCTGCCTGGGACACTCCCCTGACCCTGGCCCTAACAGCCCTGCAAACTGCTTCCCAGGAAGTGAAACTGCTCTGGGCACTTCCCACGGGAGGCTGACCCTGTGTCCACCCGCAGGACTGCCAGCCCCCACCAGGTGGCCCTGGGGGAGGTGAGCACAGTGGGGCTGTTCCCTTCCAGGGAGCCCAGCAGGCCGGGTGATGCCCCCACCGGCGCAATGGTGGAATGACACCTCTTGAGCTGAGGTTGGGGCACACAAGGTGGCCAGCCTCCTGGCCGGCCCACAGGCGGCTCTGCCTCCACCTTGCCCTGCCTGCCTTCCGGGGGCCTCCGCCCCTTGGACCCACCGTCTTCCTCTGTACTGAGCCCTGTGGGCTGTGCTGTTGCCATGGTGACGAGAAATGCTCAGAAAGGTCTGGAAATCAGTGTACAAGTGCAAGACAAAGCCAGAGCATTCCACCTGCAGCGGGGGGGGGGGGTCCCCTCCCTGGGACTGTCACACACACTGTCTCCCTGCAGCTGACCCAGCCTTACTAGGCCAAGGAGGGCTCCCATGGTGCCCCGTGCCGAGACTTCTCTGCTCCTGGCCCAGCAGGACCGCGAGTCTCCCCCAAGCTTTAAAAACAGCCCACACAACCTGAGGGTCTCTTGCTCAAACTTGACCAGCGGGGTGGGCATTTGGCTCAGCGGCCTCCAGGCCTGGTCCCTTTCTGTCGCTCCCCGTCTTCGTGGGGGAACGACACAGGACCCTGCGCTGTTCTTTCGTCTGCTCGGCCCTCCGCGGGTTTGCTGCTGGTTCTTCCCGGGTTGGCTACTATCCCTTCCACCTCCGTGGAAGGGCAGTTCCCCCTGGCCACATTCCCCACTTCCGCAGGGGAGCGGCACACCGCCGGCCGGCTTTCTCGGGGGCTGCACGGGTGTTCCTTCAGATAGATGTTCCCCCTAGATGTTCCTCATAGATGTTCCTGGTGCATGCCGTCGCTCTCCTCCTTTATAGTCCTCCTCTGCCAATCCTAACTCGGCTGCCCACACGCCGAGTACGCTGCTCTCCTCCAATCAGGAGCAAGTCCTACAGTTTATTAGCTGAACTGGAGGCAGCTGTGTGGAAGCTGTTTACTTCTCTCCCAGCGCCATATTGTGGGAGAGCAGATGCATAGAATAAGTCTTAATTCCAGTAACTTAGTCCAGTCTGGATTGCTCCCCACACTTTCCTTTCCTGCTGACACTCCCCTGGGAGGAGCAGGTGGCAGCTTCAGTAGTTGGGTCCCTGCTATGGGCATGGGAGACATGGGAGACCTGACTCAGTTCTGGGCTCCTGGCTTTGACCTGGCCCAGCCCAGCCCAGCTGTGGTGCTTGCAGAATGAACCAATGATGGAAAATGTGTCGATTAAACTGGGGAGGCTGGTGCCCAGTGCGCAGAAGCATCTGGACTCTTAAATGGGTTTTCTCAGCCTCCAGGTTTCTCGCCTGGGATACTCACAGTGTTGGTTCTATTCAAGCCACCTGCATGAGCACCCAGGGTCAGTGAACGAGCCCCGAGCATGTCCACATCTGCTCCCAGGGGGAATGCCTGCCTTCCGGCACTCCATGCTCCTCGCCGGCCTGTTGCACCCCACTGAGCCTCAGTCAAGTTCCCTTTGTGCACCTTGCTGTAAATAAGCACGTTTCAAAACCCGAGGCCTTGGGCCAGCAGTTGTGGTTTAGTGGGTGGAGCCAGTGCCAGCATCCCAGCTGCCCCACTTCTGAGCCAGCTCTCTGCTATGGCCTGGGAAAGCCGCAGATGGCCTGAGTCCTTGGGCCCCTGTACCCACGTGGGAGAACCAGAGGAAGCTCCTGGTTCTTGGCTTCTGATGGGCCTAGCTCCAATGTTGCAGCCATCTGGGGAGTGAACCAGTGGATGGAAGACCTCTCTCTCTCCCTCTCTGTAACTTTACCTCTCAAACAAATTAATCTTAAAAAACAAACAAACAAACAAACAAAAACAACGAAAAACAGCCCAAGTTCCTGTGGCTTATCTGAGGACGCTGCCACCTTCTGTGGGCTGCTGGCCAGGGCGCGCCTGGGACCACGGCCCTGATGCCTGCGTGGCAAGTGGGCCCCACAGCGCCTCAGCTGTCAGAGGCCACCTCAATCTTCCTGAATCTCCTCGGTCAGCCCAGGTCCTGCCCTGAGGCCACCAGAGGCCCTTGGCAGCAATGTGGCAGCTGTCCTGCTGCTTCTGTGCTCCCGACCTCATGGACAGGCGGCACCGAGCATGGCCGTGCCGTTTGTGGCCTGGCACCTCCTAGCACCAGGCTCCAGGAGCCGCTGGTGCAGTGAAGACCCAGGGGTCAGAGGTCAGCATCTCAGCACCAGCCTCGACTCCCAAGGCCTCCTGCAGATGGACGAGTATGAGCAGCCCTGCAGGCAGACTCCCCTCCCAACACCGTGTGCCCCACTGAGTGAAGGTCAGGCCGCCGAGCCCACGGCGGCACCGCCGGTGGCTGCTCTGGTGTCAAGAAACCAGAAGGGGAATAGGCGAGTTACGATGCGTCCATAGTGCACAGGACTGGGCACCGCTCCGCAATGACAAGCAGGACCCCTCTCCCGGCTTGGGTGGCCGTGGCAGCTGAGCCCAAGATGGTGGCTTTCAACATCTCCATTGGTTCTGGAGGCTGGAGGTCCAAGGCCCAGGCAGACGTGGGGCCTGACACAGAAGGGCCTGACTCGCCACTGAGGCCGCCCCGTGTGGATGGAGAACTCAAGCCCACCCTCATGACCTTATCAGCTCCTGAAGGCCCTGCCTCCAATGCTGTGCCCCTGGGATGTGGGTCTCCTCGTGAACCCCAAGGGGTGCAGGTCCAGAGCGGGAGGGACGGGAGGGTTCCCGTCTGGAGGAGATGGGGGTGGCTCAGCCACGGCCTGGGGCAGGCAGCACATCCTACCTTGCGTGGATTTCACCAAACCTAAGACCGGCAGTGAACCAGCCCATGGAGCGAGAAAACCATGGTGTGTTCTTTTGTGGAGCGCGCACGGAAGTTCCCATCCACGCATGAGTGTGCTGTGCACATGTGCACACATGACCTATGGGTCAGTGTGCCCATTTGTGCATGTGTGTACACAATGGTGACTGCCCACATTCATGCACACACAAGACTTGTGCATGTGTACCCATGTGCCAACTGTGCAGGGTGGATGGGTGCATGTGTGTTCATGCATGTGTGACTGTGTGGGGATGGGTGTGTGTGTACTGTGTGGAATG